TACACAGCATTATGAACTACATAATTTCTCTGATGCCAGTACGTCTGGATATGGCATGTGTACCTACGTCAGAGCTGTAAGTTCATCCGGGGAAGTCCACTGTTCTCTAGTGATGGGAAGATCGAGAGTTCCACCATCGAAGGTCACAACCATTCCATGACTTGAGTTGTCAGCTGCTGTTGTTGCTGTTCGTACCTGTGACATGTTGAAGAAGGAGCTGGAAGTTGACATCTCACACGAAACTTTCTGGACGGACTCAAAGGTTGTGCTAGGATACATCAGGAATGAAGCCAGAAGGTTCCATGTATTCGTTGCCCTCAGAGTTGAGCGTATCAAACAAAGCAGTAAGCCTACACAATGGAAGTACGTGGTGTCCGAAGAGAATCCCGCAGACCACGCCTCAAGAGGTCTTACAGCTGAACAACTTGTAGCCTCAAACTGGTTTACAGGTCCTGATCTTCTCTGGCAGAAGGTTGTGTCCAGTGATGAAATCAAGGTGGGAGAAGTATCAAGCAGTGACCCAGAAGTTAAGAAGGTTCAAGTACTCAAGACACACGTCAAAGAAGAAAGGTCACTTCTGGATCGCTTGCATAAGTTCTCTGATTGGTCAAGAATGATCAAAGCCATTGCTAGACTCAAGCGTCTTGTAAGAGAGGTAAAGGAACGCAAGACAAGATCTTCTGAGATGAGTAGCATAGAAGAGAGAAGAGAAGCAGAGTTGACAGTTTTGAAGTTGGTTCAAGAAACTGCCTTCTCTACGGAAATCAATTCATTAAAAAATGACAAGGTAGTCATACTACAGACAAAGTGACAAAGCAACACAAGTTGTGTCCTTTCATCGATGACCAAGGCATACTTCGAGTTGGAGGAAGACTCAAGCATGCTACCCTACATTTCAATGTCAAGCATCCTGTGATTCTTCCAAGAGACAGTCATGTATCAACATTACTCATCAAGCATTTTCATGAGAGAACCAGTGACGTGCAGTCAGGGGAGGCTCCATCATAGGAAACAATTATTTTAGTTGTAATATGTAATTGTTTTCCACTGATTTTAATGTATATTTGGCACTGTTCTGACCAGTTTTGATCATTTCTGTAGTCAAAATCGCTGAAATCCTATTTTTCCTATTCAAAGACTGAAGGTGAGATAGACCTGATCCCCAGATTGCTCGCTCCCACACAGTGCTGTGGATATATCGCTGTTTGTTTATTATATCCTGCTTTGATAACATTTGTCTAACTTCTCATGGTGTTTAGTAATGTACTGCACGTATGTGTGTATTATTTTTATTTAGTTTAAGTAATTTGATCTGAGAAGAATACACAAGGGAAAAGCTTAGCGTGAGGCAGGCAGTGTCTGTGCCTCACCGCTAGGGGTGATAGTGAGCATAAAGTTCATATCCGAGTTGATAACAAACAATCAGCCCAATATAATGTTTCTTTTGCTGGAAAATGGATGATTTGATTGAAGATGTTTTTCTCAAATGGACTTTCAATCAAAGCAAGAAATAATATAGACTGAGAGACCACCGCTGGACTTACAAGGTTAGTCCGGCCACGGGGGAGGAGTCTCTGTGTTTAATGTTGAAAATTGACTAGATAACTGCATAATAGTGCTTCTCCGAAAAACACTGATTCAACCACTGCTCAACAGTTCTGCAACTCTTTCTCTCTCCCCTCCCGTCTCTGTCTCTCTCTCTCTCTCTCTCTCCTCGCATCTCTGTCTCTCTCTCCTCGCATCTCTCTCTGCTCGCGTCTCTCTCTCTCTCTCCTCGCATCTCTCTCTCTCCTCCCGTCTCTCTCTCTCTCTCTCTCTCTCCTCGCATCTCTCTCTCTCCACGCATCTCTGTCTCTCTCTCCTCGCATCTCTCTCTGCTCGCGTCTCTATCTCTCTCTCTCTCTCCTCGCGTCTCTCGCACTTGTGCACTTGTGCTTCGAAAGATGTTGTTTGATGCGGAGCAGAGAGTCAGCAGCTAGATTTGTTGTGAGATTATTAAAAGAAGCTAGTTCTCTCATATTTACAGTACAGGAAGTTTGTGGATGTTATTGCATTGGTGATTAAACGCTATTTTATTTTTAAAATGATGGTAAATCTGACTTTTAAAGTCAGTGCCTCCCCTATCACAATCCTCACCGCATGTCACTGGAGAGAACATACCATCAAGGACGAGGAATCACCATGAACGAGCTCCGCGCAAACGGATATTGGATTTTTGGATGCAGCAAAGTAGTATCATCTCACATCTTCAAGTGCTTAAAGTGTAGAAAGTAGAAGATGGCAGACCTCCCGGAAGATCGAATGGAGACTACACCACCATTCACTTACTGCGGAATGGACTGCTTCGGCCCGTTTTATGTCAAGGAAGGCAGGAAGGAGTTGAAGCGCTATGGACTGCTTATCACCTGTATGTGCTCCAGAGCAGTACACATTGAGATGCTTGATGATCTAAGTACTGATGCTTTCATCAATGCCCTGCGCGCTTTCATCGCCATAAGAGGTGCAGTTCGCCAAATAAGATGTGATCAAGGCACGAACTTTGTTGCCGCCAGAAACGTGTTCGCTGAAGCACTCAAAGAAATGGACCAAGCTAAACTGGAAACTATGGACTGCGAGTTTCTCATGAACACCCCAGCCTCCAGTCACATGGGCGGTGTGTGGGAACGACAAATACGCACCATAAGAAGTGTTCTGACGTCAATCCTAGAACAATCATCGAAACAACTCGACAGTTCTTCTCTGAGGACATTCCTGTATGAAGTCATGGCAGTGATAAACAGTAGACCACTCACTGCAGATCACCTGTGTGATCCAACAAGTCCAGAACCATTAACACCGAATCACATCTTAACCATAAAGTCCACAATCATCTCGCCACCTCCAGGAAATTTTGTTAAGGAAGAACTTTATCTAAGAAAGAGATGGCGTCGTGTTCAGCTTTTCACAAATACCTTCTGGACAAGGTGGAAAAAGGAGTATTTGCTGAATCTGCAAAGCAGACAAAAATGGACTAAACAACACAGAAATGCGAAGATCAATGACATTGTCCTTCTTCAAGATGAAGTTTCCCCACGGAACCAATGGAAGTTGGCCAAAGTCGTGGAGATCTATCCAAGTAAGGACAAAAAAGTGAGAAAAGTGAAATTACTTGATGATGGTGATCCAACTCTGGATGGAAGTGGAAAACGTATCTCTAAAACAGTTTTTCTGGAGAGACCCATTCACAAGACAGTTGTTCTTTTGGAAGCAGAGTGAAGATACCAATCCATCTTCTTAATAACGGTCTCTCAACAATCTAGTTAGTTCATGATTGTAAATAAGTTAAAATCAGTTCAATATTATGCATAATTCTGTAAATGACATGTGATTGGTGGGAGTGTAAATGTCCCTAATAGCTCTCATTTAATTTTGTTAATATTTGCCATGATTATACTGCCATCTATTGGTGAAACATGAAACGGAACTAACAAGCTCATTACGTTTTGACCCGACCCCAATTCAGTGCGCACTCAGCCAATTCAGCGCCATAGACTGCTGCATTTTAACCAGTCGGGGAGGGTCCCAGCTCAAAAGTGGCCAAAATGACGTGCGCTGACATGCTTGCAATACCACCCCGGGCCGTTGGGGGTGGACCCAGAAGAAGAATAACATATAGCATTGGCAGACCTCTCAAAAACGTCTTTACAGGATGGACCAAAAGTTGGCTCTTGGCCCAAAGCTCCGTCCCAAATGTGTGTCAATGCTGAGGGGGGTGATTTTTTTTGGTCCACTCTAGTTTACTCGCTGGGAATTTTTTAAGTCTCTCGTTCAAATGAATGGAGCGGATGCGTTTTTTCACTATTTTCTTGTGGGCGGGACCACTCGCGGCCATCTTGGATTGCTCCATGCAAGCCCTTTTCATGGCCAACTCCTATGAACGGCGGAGATAGGCGTGACTCTGTCCGTTAATATATACGGTCTATGATTTTTCCCGGTCTCAGGTAAAATCCATAAAATGTTAATAATTGTACAATAATATCAAGAGTAACAAGATGTTAATGTATGTTTTGTATTTAAGTAGACACTGAGACGAAAGCAGTGTGTTTTGCGGCCAAGTTGAGCAATTAGCCCCTCGTGGAAGTCAGCTCATGAGGTTCGTTTCTTTTTTCTGTACTTTTATTTTCATATACACACAAATGTATTTTAATACGTTTTTTGTATGTGATTCTTTTTGTGAGCAGTTCTCACGGGTTGCAAGGGTTCCAAATACAAGAATAAACCCTGTTTTATCTACCTCGTGCTCATGCTATTTCCTGAGGGTGCTACAATATTGGTATGTTATATGATATTCATATGTTATATGATATTCATACGTTATTGAGTGGCTGCATAGACTATGCAGCCACTATATGCTATCCTACTGTTTATTGAGTGGCTGCATAGACTATGCAGCCACTATATGCTATCCTACTGTTTCTTCTTCTTCTTCTTCTTCTTCTTCTTCCAGATTTTGGCACTTTTCAACTCTTCAACGCTTTCACCAAATTCAACAAATTATACATCGTTACGACCGGCTTCACCGTCTCATTATTCTCATTAGTGCTTGAACAAAAGTTCAAGCACTTTTTCCCATTGACTTACATTGGACCAGTACAACAGATTACTCCCCATACAAAACATTACCACTAACAATTCATTACCACAGATACAATACATTACAAAATCTTACAAAACTTACAGCACCTTACAACACTTACAGCACCTTACAACACTTACAGCACTTTACAACACTTACAGCACCTTACAACACTTACAGCACTTTGCAACACTTACAGCACCTTACAACACATTCAGCACTTTACAACACTTACAGCACCTTACAACACATTCAGCACTTTACAACACATTCAACACTTTACAACACATTCAACACCTTACAACACTTTTTGCACCTTACAACACATTCAGCACCTTACAACACTTTCAGCCCCTTACAACACATTCTTCTAATTTCATCTTCTTCACTTCTTCCCCTTCTTCCTCTTCTTCCTCTTCTTCCTCTTCTTCCCCTTCTTCCTCTTCTTCCTCTTCTTCCCCTTCTTCCTCTTCTTCCTCTTCTTCCCCTTCTTCCCCTTCTTCCCCTTCTTCCTCTTCTTCCCCTTCTTCCTCTTCTTCTTCCCCTTCTTCCTCTTCTTCTTCTTTCCTCTTCTTCCCTTTTCTTTCTTCTTCTTCCTTCTTCTTCCCCTTCTTCCTTCTTCATCCATAACCCTTCCAACATCTATGCAGCCACTCACAATGGCTTCAGCCATTGTACCATTTCTAGTATGATATTGGTATGTTATATGATTGTAACCCACTTTGGAATTAACATGAACGACTAGGTTCTTAAAGAGCTCAAATGTAAAGTGTTGGAACTATAGCCACAATGAAAGACAGACAATAGTTAAATGTAAATTGATTTAGTTAATTATGTCAAGAATTATTACCACAAATACAATGTAATGTAAAATAAAATACAAAAATAAATAGGCGCCTTAAAAATAACCCAAAAATTAACCCTTAAAATCTCTGAGTGCACTTAAAGTTTTGTTCAAGGTGGTCAGCTGACACGGTCCTACGCAGCCGATAGCTCATGCGGTCTGCAATGGGATCATCCAGTTTTGGCTCAGGTGGGTTGGCTCGCCATCTAGTAGTCTTCTTCAAAGATGTTTCCAAATCTCATTAAAAAGACCTGACCTGTATTAAAAATAAATTTCTTGCTCCAGTCATGACAATTAATCTAATCCTAATTCAAAGGTACAACATATTTCTCATGTACAGTACATAGCAACAAAAAGAGATTTTCTGTATGCAAACATTTTCTAATTATTCATATACATAAACCATTTATAGGATTATTTCAACCCTTTATACAATAAACAATAAACAATAGCATTTTAGTCACAGACAACATTTCTCACCGATTCACGCGCGTATGAGCCGGGACACAGTGACGTCACGGCTCTGGATGTGAGCGCTCGCGCAGATAACTGCCTCTGTCATCAATATGGACCGGTTAGAACATTGAGACAAACAGCCAACACATCATCAATCAAGCAATTCTTTACCAATCCTCTCTCGTTCCTTTACGGAACGGTGTCGGAATCTGCGCTCAGCTTGTCTTTCTCTCTTTTCTCTGCTCTAAAACAGTGAGGAGGTCCGTTAGTGTAGCGGCCGTTGGTCATTTGCGGACGTTAAAGTTGCGGTGGTCACTACAAAGTAACTCTTACCGATCAGTCAACTTTAACTCCAGGCCAGCAACAGGACTCTTCTTTTGGCTTGGATTGATGTCTGATTTGCGCTTTTGAATTGTTGAAATGATGGAGCTGAGCTTTGCGTGTGTCTCGCTGCGTGTGTCTCGTTGCTTGACTCCGGTCAGAGAAGGGAAGCGGGGTCGCGTGCACCGTGGATCTGAACGTAACGTTTTGGTTGTTGCTACGCGACTTATATGCTGCACTACAGTGCATTGTGTTGGCACATACAAATAAATAAATAAACAAAGTACACATTTTCATTTAGTACTTAAATATGTTAGCCATTCCTTTGTGGTTTACATTTAAATTAGGAATTTGGTTTTACACCTGGGTTACATGATATTGGTATGTTATATGATATTCGTACGTTATATGATATTGGTATGTTATATGATATTGGTATGTTATATGATATAACATACCAATATCGACAGTGAGCGACAGTAGCTCAGATGGTAGAGCATTGGCCTTCAGGCCTGAAGGTCGTGGGTTCAATTCCCACCTCTACACCTTCTCCACCGACTCCCACTGATGTCTGCTGTCGTTGTGTCTGTGAAAGATCCCAGACGTAAGACAAAAGAGACTTCGACTGCGTAGTTCAATAGTTTTATTGTCAGAAGGTTTGAGCGTATTCTGATCAAGTACAACGCAGCTTCCCGTCTGGCTCTAGCAGAAGTCTGCTGTATTTTCACAGGGTGGCTCCTTATATACACCAAAAAATGTTTAGGTAAGCATAGATTCTGGGAAGCATGACTATGTGAGAAGCAAGCGTATGGTTTCAAAGTTGCGTAACGGACCAAACTCCAATGTACATGAGATAGCATTATCTCATGTTATGTACATCAACACCTTATCTGCCCCATGCTTCTGTAAGCAGTCCAAAGTACAGGTGTTATGTCTCTACTGAACTATTTAACATGATATTTTAAACAGCAAATAGTAATTAAATATTCACAGTCCCTCTCTTGATCACATCCACATGTGATCACAAATCAATATTTAATGTAGAGGCGCAAGTCGCTACCTCTCCGTTGATATTAGTTTGTAATCATCAGATTATATGACTGTTGAAAAATACAATATAATTTTTTAAAACAAGTTTTCTAAACCTGGTGTTAAACTTTTCTATAATTCTTGCTAATTTTTTAGACTTTCTTCACACATACTCAACTCGTTCTTATAAAATCTCTTCCCAATGTATTTTTTCCCTCTTATTCAACTTTCTCTTCCCCAGCTGAAAAACGAACTCCTATCTCTCTCTCTTTCTCTCTAAATTTTGTTCTAGTTAGTGAGTTAACATTAATTTTGGTCTAGCTGTTTGACATATTATGCAGTCTGTTTGGTTTGCTTGTTCAGCTTGTTGCCTAACATTTTCTAACAAAGTAAATAAATAAACAAAAAAACAAATCAAAACTTTTAACACAGATTCCAATTTAAATGTTTGAAAAACGGCTTTTGTAACTAAAATAAAAACATAAAAACAAACACAACTCACAAACAGTTAAGAAATAAGCAGCAGATTTAAAAGAATGGAATCTAGAAATATGTTAGATCTAAAAAGAATTGCACAGCTTTAGCACTAATCTTTGGGTTTCAAAAACATACTAATTCAAAACTTCTTTTTGCTAAATGGTGTTTAAAAACGTTTAACTGTGTAGTAGTAGTAGTAATCTTTATTTATATACCGCCTTTTCACTGCAGATCTGAGTCTCAAAGCGGTTTACAATTGTTAATTTTTGGGCATTTGTCTCTCACTCCACACAGAGATGGGAGCGGGGTCGCCAGTACAGGAGGCGCATGCCAGAACTATTAGACATATTTTTAGTGGTAGGGGAAATCGGAGTACCCGGAGGAAACCTACGCAGACACGGGGAGAACATGCAAACTCCACTCAGAAAGGCCCTGGTCCGACCGGGATTCGAACCCAGGACCTTCTTGCTGAGAGGCGAGAGTGCTATCCACTCAGCCACCGTGCCGCCCAATAACACAATGTTCAAATGGCAAATTTCGCAAATTTAACGGAATAACAACTATGAAAAGCCAGAAATCCTAAAGCAGTAGCTCTGATTCAGAGCCAGAGCAGCGAAGGAGGGGGGCCGTTTCCCTGACAACGGCAGCAAGATAGTGCGACGCACACACACAGACAGAAAGTAGTGTTTTAGCAAAAATACTAAAACAGAAAGAAGAATAACTTTCAAGATAACTTTTTTAAGCAAATATATAACTGATGTTGTAGTTTATACTTTTGTCATCCAAGTCTAGAAATGGCCAATTTCAACACTTGTAACAAAAGGCACTCTTGTCTTTAACGTTTACGCTTCTATTTTATCGAGGTAGCAAACTAGTTTAAACTCAAAATCTCTTTCTAAAAAACAAAAACAACTGTTGGATACAGCCCTCTCATAGCTCAACTGTAGATTAAACTCGGCATTCTCCGGTGAACTCTGTTCACGCCAATAAACAAACTAAAAAAACAAAAAACTCCCTTTATCTCTCTGTAATTTAAACCGTGATCACTGAAAATATTGTTGCTTCTTTACTTTTGTCATTTATCAGCCTGAAATTCGTCAATTTCAAAGCTTTTGTAACAAAGGCCTCTTTTTCACATTTCCCTTTTTATTAAATTGCTTTTACTTTTATACCATGGTTTCACTAAGGATCCTACACTTTATCTTTTCTCAAAGGGATTCTAACCCCGAGACTTCTTCAAATACAATTTAGAGAGTTTGACAGACCCCAAAAACAGACCAAAATTTAGCTAATATCCAATTATACAGACTTTACATTATAAAAAGGTGTCTGCTTACCTTATTCTTGTCAAACTGGTTCCAAGGACTGTCCGAGAGGTCTGCCAACCTCTTTTCCGAACACACAGGACTTATTTGGTTAATGGTTAATGGTTAACTTTTATCGCAGCTCCCTGCTTATCTGAAACTAGGGCAGAAGGCACCGCTTGGACTTACATGATTCTGAACTTGAAAAATTTACAAATATTATACAAAGGACAACATTTTACCACTTAAACCTACTACTCCTACTACCACCAGGTCACTACTACTACTACCAGGTCACTACTACTACTAACCACTTTTTATGTACATACATATAAATGTAATTATTGAATTTCTTACGCTAATTACTTTGACTACTTAAAAATAACCAGTTCTTTGAATTAACACGTTTTTTTGTTTCTTCTGACGCTGAAAAAATCTCTAAAAAACAGCGCATACTAACAATCGTTTTTAAATTCTTCTTCTGCCGAAAAAACCTCGAAAAACGGCTTCTATCGCCCTTTTACATTCTTCTCACGCCGAAAAAGCCTAGAAAAACGGCGGTGATCGTTTTATAAAAAATGCGCATATATATTTACAATATAAACAGGAATCATAAAAGAGCCAGTAGCCAACCACATTGAAATTTTTTGATGTAAGACCAATTTAACAGATTTTTTGAAAAGGCATCTGTAATTTCCTTTTTGTGCAGATCTACCTTTGTGGTCCTGTATCTTTTATGGAGACTTCTGCAAAGCCAGAGAAGATGAAGCGCTGTCTGGAGCAAAAATGTGTTTGAAAAAATAAAAATAATAATTGTCTTTGTCTTGGGCTTTTTGTATCACGTCGGGGTCACCAAATTGTGAAAGATCCCAGACGTAAGACAAAAGAGACTTCGACTGCGTAGTTCAATAGTTTTATTGTCAGAAGGTTTGAGCGTATTCTGATCAAGTACAACGCAGCTTCCCGTCTGGCTCTAGCAGAAGTCTGCTGTATTTTCACAGGGTGGCTCCTTATATACACCAAAAAATGTTTAGGTAAGCATAGATTCTGGGAAGCATGACTATGTGAGAAGCAAGCGTATGGTTTCAAAGTTGCGTAACGAACCAAACTCCAATGTACATGAGATAGCATTATCTCATGTTATGTACATCAACACCTTATCTGCTCCATGCTTCTGTAAGCAGTCCAAAGTACAGGTGTTATGTCTCTACTGAACTATTTAACATGATATTTTAAACAGCAAATAGTAATTAAATATTCACATGTCCTTGGGCAAGACACTTAACCCCACTTTGCCCAAAGCCCCCACTGAAAGATCAAGGCTATGCTCACACTCAGAGAGCAGCCGTCCTCCTGTGGACTCACCACCTGCAGAGGGTCAGTGAGGGGCTGGTGCTATGAGACTTGGGTGGCATCTCTGACTGCCACCCCCCTGACCCAGAAATGGATTAAAAGGTAGAAAATGGATGGATATATGATATTCATATGTTATATGATATTAGTATGTTATATGATATTCATATGTTATATGATATTGGTATGTTATATGATATTCATATGTTATATGATATTCATATGTTATATGATATTGGTATGTTATATGATATTGGTATGTTATATGATATTCGTACGTTATATAATATTCATATGTTATATGATATTGGTATGTTATATGATATTCATAGGTTATATGATATTGGTATGTTTTATGATATTGGTATGTTATATGATATTCATATGTTATATGATATTGGTATGTTATATGATATTCATATGTTATATGATATTCATAGGTTATATGATATTGGTATGTTTTATGATATTCGTACGTTATATGATATTCATATGTTATATGATATTGGTATGTTATATGATATTCATATGTTATATGATATTGGTATGTTATATGATATTTGTAAGTTATATGATTATGTTATATGATATTTGTGCGTTATATGATATTCATATGTTATATGATATTGGTATGTTTTATGATATTCGTACGTTATATGATATTCATATGTTATATGATATTGGTATGTTATATGATATTGGTCTGTTATATGATATTGGTATGTTATATGATATTCGTACGTTATATGATATTCATATGTTATATGATATTGGTATGTTAGATGATATTGGTATGTTATATGA